ATGATGTAGTGCAACCGAACAGTAAGTAGTAAATAAAAAAAAATTGAGAAGATCTGGCATGGACGGTTTATTGGGAGCCAAATGTCTGAAGGTTTTCTAAATGTATGATCTCCCAGATAATTGGATGTGCTGAATGCACTGAAACTACTTGCTTGATGTGCCGCAACCTTCGCCGTGATTGTCTCTGCTCATAGCAATTGCCTGCTACAGATTGCTCGTCTTCATGCACACATTTCCCTCCGCAGATTGGACAGGCTTTTGTGCACCACTTAATTTTCAATCAGATCCGATCCTGGCTAAGTTGCCATGCAGTGCGAGGGGTAAATGGTGGGTCATATGCTCTCCCCAGTGCTAATGAGAAGCTTCAGTCAACACATGTCTGTCATTTTTTATCCTGTCTTCCATAGCAGATAAGAGGCACAGAGAAGGTCTGACAAGGTCTGTCCATTTCCAACATAGACCCATCCAGCTGGGAGCAGAACCAATAGTGTCTCAACTTCTTGCATATGGGGGTCAGTTCAAAAGCAATCATCTCCAGCAGCTCTAAATTTAAACTTGTCCAGGGGACTAATTGTATGTCTATCAAATTAAAATGAAGCACATTTTTTTCAGTGATCATAAGATGCCTTGGACTTGTCTGCTGATTTGACGTCACATTAAAACATCATGTAGACATTTGAATACAGTATATAAATTATACAGTCTCACAGCTTTTGCTAATCGAAGGTACTGCAACATTATATTCTACTTTAGCCCTATAATTTTATATATAATAAAATTGTATATTAAATACTAAATTGCTAGCAATATTATACAATACCCAAGAGAAATCTGAATATGCAAATGCAGTGTATAAACATACTAATAGAAAACTCTCTCTGCATATCACTAACACATTGTTTTCTGAATATTTGCACTGGAGGAATTTATATGTTTAAAAAACAATAGTGTGGCAGAGGACTGGTGGGCTTTGTTTGGATTTAAAATCTGCTGAACACATATGGGTCTAAAATAAGATGACCTGCACATCCATAATTAAAATTAGGTTTGTACTGACTGACCACTGAATGCAAGCTGCTGATAAATGATGCAACTAGACCATTGGTTAGTCATTAGCTTCTGTATATCTAACAATAAGGAAGGTATAATTTGTGGCAGTCAGCAAAGCATTAGTGAAGCCAGCCTGTCATCCATCTGGCATTGAACATTAATTTATGGCTTTTTGAATTTAACAGTCTATGGTCATAGATTACAACCATTTTAATACATTGGAGAGAAGAAAGAACTTATGCTGCTGTAAGGACAGGTATTCCATGCAGTACCTGTGGCAACAACTTGTGGCCGTATTTACTAAGGCTTTTGCGCCAGTTGTTCAGGTTCCGGTGTTCATGCTACCCCAAAGATGTGCTGTATTTATGAAATATACGCACCAAGCTACAGTTGCAGATTTCTTGCCATTTGTGCTAGTGTCTGCATGGTGCAAATCTTACGTCATTGCATTTGAAAGGATGATTATGTAAAACTCTGAATGACACTGATTTTGCAGGTAAAATAAAAATTGATGGCACTAGATATAATTTCAGGGGATCACCAAAGTTACAATTCATCACGAGCAGAACATGAACAATTCATCCAATAGTTGTGAAGCTACTTCAGACAATAATGGATGACCAAACTCAGTAGGGTTTGTCCTCTGGGGACCATTAATGTCTATACCAAATTTCATGACAATCAACCCAATAATGGTTGAAATATTTCAGTATTGGACTGACCGACCGACCGAAATTGCTATCCCTAAGGCCAGCCGCTGACGTGGCTACAAAGTAATCACTTGCTTCTTGGCCCACGGCCTGACTTTCTACCAAATTTAATTGAACATAGATATCCAAGTAAATAACAGACAGAGACAACTGGGACACAAAACATAACTTCCTTAGTGAAGGTAACTTATATTGAACTAAAGGAAATTCATTATTATGCTGTGATAATGAGCATATAGCTCCATATTGCTAGGTACATTAAACCCATTGCCTTAAGGACAAAAAATCAAGTGACACATTTAACATGCCGTTGAGGGCACATTCCATTTTACCCACTAATAACCCATGAATCATAATTACATCTAGATTTTGCTGTAAGCTCTATTACATTTGCTCAATTATCCATTTCCTCTTATTGCCATGGTGCCTTTTGTAGTTGCAACAAAGAACAAATTCTGTGCAGCTGTGACATTTTCAAGCAATCCCTCTGATTTCCTGTGTCAAGATTTAAAACTGTAAAGAACATTTTTATAATTCATGGTTTAACAAGATTTTTTTTTTTTTTATCATTTATGGTTTTATTTTTAAATATTTGTAAGTGCAGAGAAGAAAACGATGCCTTCAGCAGAGGTTACTAATCGCTACAACAGGTTTCCGCGTCCTCTCCCTGGAGCTCTCATCCAATGAGAAATTGATTACATATCAGTCAAAGTAAAAAGAAAACGTTTGGACTAAGCAAGGAATGAATTGAGAGAAAAAAAGAGGGCTAGTGTTTTTTTTATTCCGTCTTTTGGCTCACGTTGATCTGATATTGATTGTCTGACATTGGTCAAATATCCCACTCTGCATTGCGGAAATATACTGATTGGGTGTAGAGGGGGTGGGAGAGGGTTAGTCTGAGAGGACAGGACACATGAGAGAGGCTGATTAGGCCTGTCACCCACCAGGGATGTATCATCGATCTGAATGCCTTTTTCTGTGATTGGGATGAAACAGATGCTTTGATTTTTAACAGTGGCTTACCTACAATGTTTCTGCACAGGCTGCTCTTAATAAATGCCAAGTCATGAGGCGGCCGTTTTAAGATGGTTGTTATTTTGGCTCTTGTATAGTGTAGGGGATTGTTGTAAAATCCTGTTCATGTTTTCCTCCCTGCAGTGAGGCTTTGTTCATCTCTAAATTGAACATGTCAGTGGTGGAAGAATGCGTACTTGGTGAGAAGGATGTGCTGTTTGTTTTTGTTTTGGCTTTACAATCGAAAGATGTTACCCCCAAAACTCTCTGTAAGGAGGACCACAGAGAGCAACAGTATATAGATCCAAAGCCATTCCCAGTATCGTATCAAGTTACTTTTTAAAGTTAACAAGAAACCCAGTCGAAATCAATCAAGAGACTGAGTCAATCGCTCATGAATATTATGAATATGCTGCTGAATAAGTATCCCCTTCAACCTGAATGGAACAAAGGTGGAGTGTGTCAGGAGCTTTTACTTCACTGATGTCTAGCTTTACAGAAGGGAGAGCAGCCTTGTTTCCAGGGACCAAGAATAATTGGTGTGTTTATACAATCAACAGTAGAGAGCAGTCAACCTTCTCTGGGGAAATATGAACACTACACCACTACCACCTGCTCCTGCCTCCAAACCAAGCTGTGCATTTTACAAAGAGCTATATGGCTGGCTTCAGATTGTGTCTTTTATTGTTTATGTTGCACTCACTATGCAATATTATACACTACTGTGTTTGTCCATATTTTATGCGATTGTTTCTTGTCCATTTTACAATGTCTCTTGTGTAAGCAACATTCTGTTCTACTGATATGTGTTGTGTTATTTGATGTACTGCATGTGCTTGTATTTTGACATTAAGTATATAGATTTGAGATACATAATGCATCAACTTCAGAATGGTAATAGCTTTGTGAAGAAGATTACAGATACCGCCCTAATTAGGATGCTGCTCAACCTCATTATTTGAAGCTTTGCCCATGTTTAACATGAACATCCAACAGTGTAGATAAGTCATCAAATGTGGAAAAGCAGAATAGGTCTCCTTTAAAAGAATAGTTCGACATTTGGTTTCTAACAATGATGAGAAGGGTGATACCATTTTCTCAGTCCAAAGAGAACAAAATCCACCTACCAACACCTCTAAAATCTTACTAATTAACATGTTTTGTAAATTAGTTGAACAAACATTAAATCTTGTTTGTTCAATCTGTACAAAGACATAAAAGTAAAAATAACAATTCGCTGGTTCTCAGGGGGTTATGTGCCAAACTAGCAGCAACTTCCTGGACTCTCTGCTGGTTGCTTGGCAACTGATTAATTAGTGAGCTTTACAGGGGTGGATTTGTTATCTTCTTAGATTAGCCAGGCTAGCTCTTTCCCCCTGTTGTCTTTGTGTGTAGCTTCATATTTAACGGACAGATATGAAAGTCTTTTACACATAATGGAAAACTATTTCTTCAAGTCCACAGTCCCCAAAGTAAATTGCATTCAGATTTTGGGTGTAATTTCTGCAAAATGAGCAAAATCCACAATATACAACATTGTGATCGTTTTTTTTGTTCACTTTGGGTGGATGAGATTATTTATTTTCATTCCAGTGTTGCTGTATATTTGAAAATATGTTCAATAAGCCATTTAAATAAAGGGTAGGAACGTGCTCTGTCTGTATGCCCAAATGGAGGTTTTCACTATTTTACCAACCAAATAGCAAAAGATTAGAAGGGCACTTCCTAATGATGGTTGCTTAACTGCCAAAGAGGCTGATGGAGTAAACTAGCTTATCAGCAAACATTCGGCTGATGGTAATTTCCTAACCTGCTAAAGTCTCTCACTCATAGATGCTTCAGTTATTAATCTTCTACTATATGTTGAAAAAGTCTTCTTAATTCACTTTCATTTCCCTATTCCTTTAGGTCATAAGTAACCTAGATGCAGTCCTGTGTGGCTCAGTGGGTCAGGCATGGCAATAACACTGCTCAGGCCTAAGCATTTGTGTCCCACAGTGGTACCTATAGCAAAACTGCATATCCGCTGTTTGGATGAGAGCACATGACCTCATATCCTTTTATTTTAGCACCTGTCATTGTAGGAAGTTAACCTGAGTAAATTAAATCCCACAGGTTGTGGGTCAACAGGACCACACATACATTGCAAAGGGTACAGTGCAATGCATACAGTATCCACTGGACCATCCACATCCTACATTAGTTAAAGGTCACATGAGCTCTTACCTTTATAGAAGCACTCTTCACTGTGCATGATGGTAATCCTGTGTCCTCTGAGACAAGAGGCCCGGTGGAGTTCACAATGGTTCTGGTACAGCTTCCCATCTGAACCGCACACAGGTTTATAATGCGGTTTACAGTGATCCAAGCACTTACACTCCCCTTGGCCTGTCTCATGGTTAACTACACAGTGACGCCCCAAGCCACAGTACTTGTGTTCACATGGACCTGGATAGCCATTGTGTCCCATAAAACCTGCAGAAAACACAGAAAAAAACAGAAGAAAAAACGAGTTACATTTTTTTCTGACCCCAACCAGAGATCTGTACGTGGATCTGAACAGATGGAAAGCTGTGATTACACTCTTATTACAGGATGAATCTTATTTAGGCTGTTTCAGTCCCCTCAACACTCAGACAATCCCTGTCAATACTGGGTAGTGTTTTTCTCAACTCACAAAGTGACAGTCAAATCCATAAATTATGCGAGTCAAGTTCACTACAAAGCAGTAACAGTGGGAGTGATTAAAAAAGTCAACCCAAATATTATTGAAAATGCCATGAAAACGAAAACATCTTCTGTTTTGTAATTTGATATTTGCAGGCAGAGAGGCAAGTCTGCAAATCTCTCATATAAATGTAAGTGCATCTTAACCTGTTGGTAACTACCAGCTATTTGCCCCTATTTCCAGGACAAATGCCTAAATTGTTACCCAAAATGAATCAGAAATAACTTCTCAACTATTAGGCCTAGATGTATAATTCTGGTCTCCTTTGATAGGTCAGAGGCGTAGGAATATGAATCAATAAAGCTATTTATTTTGCTATCAAAGAGTAAACGGAGATCAATATTTTACTATATTTTAGTAACAGAATATCTTCTAATACCCCTGGAATACAAATGTAACTGTAAATTTGATGAAAAGAAACTAATATACAACAGTTATTACACAATGTTTCAAAAATATACCAGGTGAATGTCCCTGTTTTGGCCATATTTACGGTTTATATGTTCACTGGTATTGGGAGTTTTCTTCAAAACACTATTTCTGTCCATACAACCATGTTCCAAATAACAAAGCTTCCAAAACGTTGAAATAGTAAATATTCATTAACATGCCTATGACCGAATGAACTCTCATGCTTTACAGGCCCACAACTTCAGAACATCCTACAGGGTAAGTGGGCTTTATCTCTTCGTCTTGAGAAGACAAATCGTTTGGTATATTGGATGTCTGTGTAACTACAACGAGTCGGCCGGCAGACAACGATAAAGACAGTCTGTTCCACAGCAACGCTTTTCCTCTCCTGCAGTTTTAGGCGAACCGAAACTCAGAGAGCTTAGATGGATTGCACAATATCCAAAATGGCAGCCAGAATTATTTTTGTCAACAAGTGAGCTATTCTTGAACAGATAACAGCGAGAACAGCAAACGTAAGTCAGCGTTTGTAACTGTATATGGGTAACGGTGCGTTTGTTGTTATTGTTATCCGGCTAATAACTCTGAGTTTGGTGATTTGAGTGATATGAGTTACACAACTGATCAGAGCTGGAGCTGAGCTTTCTTTAGAGTGGTCGGACTGCGGTGTAGGATGAGATGAGAGATATCTAGAAGGCAATAACTGGAGGTGTACAGTGTTCACAGAGTGATTTATGTTGTGATATAAGCTCATTTAGATGTTTGGTGTTTGATGTGCGTATGGTAAGGATAAAAATGGTTGGTTTGAGAGTCTAGATGAGCCTCCTAGCTTCACGGAGGTGGCTGGCATGGATAAGGTGACAAAATACTAGGATCAGACATGGATTTCTCATTTACATTTTGCACGAAAATTGATCGACCCTATACCGGTTAAGTCAGTGCTTAACTTCATCAAATAACTTTAAATTAACTAGCAGAGAGAAATATGTTCAATATGTCTATATGTCTATGTGGTATGTGTAAGTATTATGTAGCCTGATAGGAAGATCTAAGGCTGTCTCAGTTCAGCTTAAATCCCATTCCGGGCAGTAAACCCTCAACATATCTTTTCCACCTCTTACTGTGTATTCCCACGTAGGCTTTGCCATATTAAGGTTTTCAAGTTAGTGGTGAAGTGAGTGTACTTTTTTAAACTTCTGACAACAAGTGTACGAGAGGGGCCAGTAACATCACCACTGTTGTACTTAACAACCAGCCTGTGGAAGTAGTGGAATATTTAAGTACTTAGGCACAATGACTGATCACACTTTAAGTTTTAATGAAAACTCAGTATTTTTAAGACAGCCAATCAGTGACTGTTTTTAATTATAAAGCTGAGGAGCTTTAGGGTTAGTCAATACATACTCGAGATGGCATACAGGGGCCCGGTAGAAAGCATCTTACAGTTTAATATAACAGCTTGGTATGGCGACCTGAATGTGAAAGACAAAAACAAGCTTTCCAAAATTGTTAATATTGCAGGGAAGGTGATTGGCAAGCCACAAAAGCAGCTCAGTAATATATCTGACGGTACTCAGGGAGGCCAGACAGATATTTGAAGATGCCTCACACCCACTAAACTCAAGAGTTCGAGTTGCTCCCGTCTGGCCACTGATTCAGGGTCCCGAGGGCGAGCTGGAACATGTATAAGACATCTTTTATTCCCCATGCCATACAGGCACTGAATGCAAAATGACTGCATTATTAAATGCGTTTTTGTAGGCTGTAACCTACCTCATGTCCATCTGCTACTGCTGCTGTTTTCTGCTTATGGCACAATTGTTGTTGTATGTTTAATGGTGGTACTTGTGTCATATTGTGAACTTTTTTTTCCCCCCAGTTCACATGCATCTATTTTTAGGGGCATATGCGAGTGAAATGTTGCATTGTGGAGCCCTGTTAAAAGGTCACTTTGTGTGAGAAAGTACTCTTGATGAGGGCTAAAAGTTCATTTGATCCAAGGACTAAGAAGTTGAGGGTTTGAAATGAAAAGAAAAGCTACAAGAAATCTGAAATGCATCCTTGAGCAAGACACTTATTCCAAGTCTGCTTCAGGGGTGCAGCAGACCCTGAACACTGACCACTGTGTAGAGGTGGTAAGAAAAAGAGAATTTCTCCATTTCTCGATTAAGCCAGGGTCCAAAATAACACACGCCAAACACCAAATGCAGGAAGATTTTCCATTTTGGCGAGTAAATCTCCATCTTTTAACTGGCAGATAAATGTTTGTACCAAAATTGTCATGTTTTGGTGTAATTAACTGGTGCACTTCTTCTGTCCTCTACACACACACAGTTTTATGTCTGTCTTGAGCGCTCCTAGTTTCCAGGCATATTAGTTACTTGCTAAACTATCACTTGCCATCGGTCTGCTGCTGCAACGCAGTATCACACCGAAGTGTATACGCACACCAGTCCACTGTAGCAGTGTCAAATTTTGTGACACAAAAACGCAATTTATTAGTTTGGCTGGTAAAAAATATGCTTGACCCGATCTATATTTCAGACACTGGGATTAGTGGAGTAGCAGGAAAGAAAGGTAATAACATTGCAGCTTGTAAGGTGTTTTAGCAGCAGGATTGAGAGAATTCATTTACAAAAGGTTTTATGAGAACAAGATTTTCCTTTAGGAAATTATCAGTGTGATTTTCTGAGGACATGTTTCTGTTCTGGTCTGCCACTTTAACCTGTATGAACACTAATAAGTCTTGACAGCCACAGATCAGTCTGTACAGTAACCCATGAACCGCATCAAACACGGATATCTGCTTTCTAACAGCAGCTTGCTCACTCTTAGATTGCCCGTTGGAATAGTCCTCAAGGGGTGGAGGGGCATGATGAGCAGAGAAAACTTCATGACCATCAGAGCGAATGCCTCTCAAGGATGCACTGTTACATCAAGTTATGTATATAAGGAACTGCCAGCAATTACTACACAGAAACGGATTATAGGTTTGTCAACTGCCTATTCTATTTGTGAAAAGTTCAAAGTCATATGTCCTTTAAGCCTTAAGCCTTAATATAATTTAAACGGATGAGTTAAATAAAAATTCACCCTGCACAGTTGTCATGAATGGGGAAATTGGCTACAAAGATCAAAAACATATTTTTGTACCAGGCTGTTTATATGTTTATTTCTGCTGTAAAGTTGGGTTTTTTAACATGGGAATCTATGGTGATTGAGGTTGGGTATTGCTTAAAGTTTTACGATACCATTACCAAAACCAGTACCCTTAAAGTCATACCGATACCAATAGAGTACTTCATTCGATACCTTGCATAAAATGTCACCTGTTGAAGCCATAGTAGTTGATTAGTAGCCTATTATTTTTATTGTTGTTATGGACAAGCAAGGTGATCTATTTTATTTTTCTTGTTTCAAATAACTGCTACATAAAAGTATTGGGAAATTGTATCAGATGACTCCTCGTCCTAATTTGGTCATCCTCACATTACAGCTTGCAAATTTTTCAATATTTGAATAGGGGAGGAGGAGTGAAATATTTTAGTGAACAAATGAGCTGTGGCAAACAAATTTAAGGTATTTTTTGATATGTGTGTTGAAAGTAAACAACGGAAAATTATTTTGTTAACTTTCGATCAAAAAAACTGAATTCAAAGATCTCCGCAAGTGCTTTTTCCTTTATTGGTGAGTAGCAAACCTCCTCCAAAAACGACAGTCACAAGTATAAAACGAGAAGCAGTCTGTTTAAACAAGTCACTAAACTACACTAAAGACTCACAGAGGAGGGAGGACGCTGCACATCCAGCCGATCAAACCAACTGCACCTGAAGCAGCCGCAGCTGCAGACAAAGGCTCCGTGAGTAAAATCAGCCGATTGCTGGTGCGCCACAAGCGTTTAATTGATGTGATGGAACGCAGTGATCGATCAGTGACAGGTGACAAAGAAGTGTTAAATGATACCAGAAGATGAAACCAACGGAAAGTCAAGCATGCAACTTGCAACAGTGACAAACATGCCTGAGACAACAGCCGAAAGTGAGGGGCTGTGCACAGACTCTTCGCATGCCTTTTTTTATACAGTGAATGTTGCAGGCACATAAGGGAAATAAAGGCATGCTCTTCTATTTCTTTCGGTGTGTTGCTTGCATGTTTGGCTGCAAGCAAAACCATACAATTAGTGAATTCTACTCGATACTGGGCTGTTTCGGTCTACACCATAAAGGTATCGAATAGTGATACCCATCCCTAGTGGAGACTGACTCACTTTTGGAGCCAGCCTTAAGTGGCCATTCAATGAACTGGAGTTTTTGTCATTAGCTTCATGTTTCAGCCC